CCCGTAGACTCACACAGCAGAGACCCATAGACTCACACAGAAGAGACCCACAGACTCACACAGCAGACACCCACAGACTCACACACAGACACCCACAGACTCACACAGCAGAGACCCACAGACTCACGCAGCAGAGACCCATAGACTACACAGAGACCCACAGACTCACACAGCAGAGACCCACAGACCTACACAGAGACCCATAGACTCACCACACAGAGACCCATAGACTCACACAGCAGAGACCCACAGACCTACACAGACACCCACAGACTCACGCAGCAGAGACCCACAGACTCACCCAGAGATTGACATAAAAAACCCAGCCAGGTGCTTAGTTTTGCAGGGTGTTTCAAAACGATGGACCCAATTTCAAAGCAGCGCTGCTTTGAAATACCGCTTTGAAATTGGGTCCATCGTTTTCCACGCTCGAGGTTCAGCGGCAGCGCCTCCAACTGCACACTCAGAGCGAAGCAGCAAAAATTGCCCAATCATCAGCGTGCAGTTACAATTAACGGGGGGATTCATCGATAGCGTTGCCATCGACTGACCGAAACCCGGGCATCGATCAGCCACCGCTCCCCCATTGTATCTGCTGCACACAGATTGGGGGGGGGGGGGGGGGGGGAATTCGTCCCCGACGAACGTGGCTGCCAGTTTTCCCCCCGGACAAAGATTATATCTCCCTCTCCCACCCCCCCACCACCAGCTCCATCAACCTGATCGAAATCCCGAATTACGATCGGATCGTTGGCGGTTTCAATAGTGACGCGTCTGTGCAGCGTGTCGTTACGTGGGGAACAGGGAGACTGCGTGAGATGACGGTGCAACGGTCCGAGTCCATGAATTGGCGACAGGTAACGGGGCCAGACGGTCGCGAGCGACTCACGAGAGATGCGCCCACACGGCTTGCCCCGAAGCCATCGGTTCAGCGTCAGCGAGCGAGGTGGTGGCTGGCCGTGGCGGTGGTGGCGGTGGTGGTGGTGGTCACACAACGCGGTTCGAGTTTTGGGGGGCCACCGAGATCGGCCGGCTTGAGCCATCGCCCCCCCCCCCCTCTCTCCTCGTGTGCCGCTGTGCAAGGTAGCCTTCACAGGTGCTGCTGCTCGCTAACAGCACTTGCCCCGACAGTCTGTCACAGGCTACACGGGGGATCTTTGTCTTTGGTGTGTAGGTGGCGTTGGTGGTGTTAGTGGTGGTGGTCACACAACGCGGTTCGAGTTTTGGGGGGGGCCACCGAGATCGGCCTGATGAAGGCCGCTTGTGTCGTGGCCGAAACGTCGCGAGAATATTAAATCGCGTTATTTTGTTTTATCAATTTATTATTTTATCATCATTCTACGTGGTGGTGGTGGCGACTTTACCGCGAAGAAGCAAAGCAGAAGATCGGGCGGCCCTAAGCCGCCGCAGCAACAGGCGTCGAATACAAAGCGAGGGGCAACTCCTCAGTCACCGACAACTCCTTACTTACTAACAACTACTTATTTACTAACTCCTTACTTACTAACAACTCCTTATTTATTAACAACTACTTACTTACTAACTCCTTACTTACTAACAACTCCTTATTTACTTACAACTCCTTACTTACTAACTCCTTACTTACAACTTCTTACTTACTTACAACTACTTACTTACTAACTCCTTACTTACTAACTCCTTATTTACTGACAACTCCTTAGTAACAACTCCTTACTTACTGACAACTCCTTATTTACTAACAAGTCCTTACTTACTAACAACTACTTACTTACAACTACTTACTTACAAACAACTACTTATTTACTTACAACTCCTTACTTACTAACTCCTTACTTACTTACAACTCCTTACTTACTAACTCCTTACTTGCTTACAACTTCTTAGTAACAACTCCCTACTTACTAACAACTACTTACTAACAACTCCTTAGTAACAACTCCTCAGTCACCGACAACTCCTTACTAACAAGTCCTTACTTACTAACAACTACTTACTTACAACTACTTACTTACAAACAACTACTTACTTACTTACAACTCCTTACTTACTAACTCCTTACTTACAACTCCTTACTTACTTACAACTCCTTACTTACTAACTCCTTATTTACTAACAACTCCTTAGTAACAACTCCTTACTTACTAACAACTTCTTACTGACAACTCCTTACTTACTACTCCTCAGTCACCGACAACTCCTTACTTACTAACAACTTCTTACTAACAACTCCTTACTTACTAACTCCTTATTTACTGACAACTCCTTACTTACTTACAACTTCTTATTTACTAACAACTCCTTACTTACTTACAACGTCTTACTAACAACTCCTAACTTACTTACTTCTTCTTACTAACAACTCCTTACTTACTTACAACTTCTTACTTACAAACAACTACTTACTAACAACTCCTTACTAACAACTCCTTACTAACTAACAACTTCTTACTGACAACTCCTTACTTACTTACAACTACTTACTAACAACTCCTTAGTAACAACTCCTTACTTACTAACAACTACTTACTAACAACTCCTTACTCACTAACAACTACTTACTAACAACCCCTCACTCACCGACAACTCCTTACTTACTTACAACTTCTTACTAACAACTCCTTAGTAACAACTCCTTGCTTACTAACAACTACTTACTGACAACTCTTAACTTACTAACAACTCCTTACTCACTGACAACTCCTTACTTACTAACAACTTATTATTTACTAACAACTCCTAACTTACTGACAACTCTTTACTTACTAACAACTCCTTACTAACAACTCCTTACTTACTAACAACTCCTTACTTACTAACAACTCCTCACTAACAACTCCTTGCTTACTAACAACTCCTCACTAACAACTCCTTACTAACAACTACTTGCTCACTAACACCTCCTTACTTACCAACAACTCCTCACTAACAACTCCTTACTCACTAACAACTCCTTACTAACAACTCCTCACTGACGTCACCGCTTAGCCCGGGGTAGGCGACGCTGACGTCACCGCTTAGCCCGTGGGGAGGCGACGCTGACGTCACCACTTAGTCTGGGGTAGGCGACGCTGACGTCACCACTTAGCCCGGGGTAGGCGACGCTGACGTCACCGCTTAGCCCGTGGGGAGGCGACGCTGACGTCACCACTTAGTCTGGGGTAGGCGACGCTGACGTCACCGCTTAGCCCGGGGTAGGCGACGCTGACGTCACCGCTTAGCCCGGGGTAAGCAACGCTGACGTCACCGTTTAGCCCGGGAGAGGCGACGCTGACGTCACCGCTTAGCCCGGGGGTAGGCGACACTGACGTCACCGCTTAGCCCGTGGGGAGGCGACGCTGACGTCACCGCTTAGCCCGTGGGTAGGTGACGCTGACGTCACCGCTTAGCCCGGGGTAGGCAACGCTGACGTCACCGCTTAGCCCGGGGTAAGCGACGCTGACGTCACCGCTTAGCCCAGGGTAGGCGACGCTGACGTCACCGTTTAGCCCGTGGGTAAGCGACGCGACATCACCGCTTAGCCCGGGGTAAGTGGAGGCAATGCTGACGTCACCGTTTAGCCCGGGGTAGGCGACGCTGACATCACCGCTTAGCCCGGGGTAGGCAACGCTGACGTCACCGTTTAGCCCGGGGTAGGCGACGCTGACGTCACCGTTTAGCCCGTGGGTAAGCGACGCTGACGTCACCGCTTAGCCCGGGGTAGGCGACGCTGACGTCACCGTTTAGCCCGTGGGGAGGCAACGCTGACGTCACCGCTTAGACCGGGGTAGGCGACGCTGACGTCACCGTTTAGCCCGTGGGGAGGCAACGCTGACGTCACCGCTTAGCCCGGGGTAAGCAACGCTGACGTCACCGCTTAGCCCGTGGGTAGGCAACGCTGACGTCACCGCTTAGCCCGGGGGCCACCGTCATTGTCTCGGTGGTCACCCTCGTCAACCACTCGCTCCAGTGGGGAGGGGGGAGGAGAGAGAGGGAGGGGGGGGAGTGAGGGGGGGGTGAGAGAGGGAGGGGGGGGGGAGTGAGGGAGGTGAGTGAGGGGGGGGTGAGGGGGTGGGAGAGAGTGAGGGGGGGGGGGAGGAGGGGAGTGAGGGGGGGGGTGAGAGAGTGAGGGGGGGGGGGAGAGAGTGAGGGGGGGTGAGGGGGGCCGCGAGGGGCGAGAGGGAGGGGGGCCAAGTTGTGGGCGCTGTGTGAAGAGTGAATAATGGATGAGAGACGCTTTGGGGATGTCTAGCACCACACCTGCATACAACACCACCTGTCTCACCCCCCCCTCTACACCTCCCGCTCCCACCCTCTGCTCCCACCCCCATCACTACCACCATCATCATCATCACTACCATCATCATCATCCCCATCATCATCATCATCACCACCACCACCATCATCATCATCACTATCACCACCATCATCACCATCATCACCACCACCACCATCACCAACATCATCACCATCATCACTATCACCACCATCATCACCATCATCACCACCACCACCATCACCAACATCCCCATCATCATCATCACCACCACCACCACCATCATCACCACCACCACCATCACCACCATCACCACCACCATCACCACCACCATCACCACCACTATCACCACCACCATCACCACCACCACCACCATCATCATCACCACCACCACCACCACCATCATCATCACCACCACCACCACCACCATCACCACCACCACCACCATCACCACCACCATCACCACCACCACCATCACCACCACCACCACCATCACCACCACCACCACCATCACCACCACCATCACCACCACCACCACCATCATCACCACCACCACCACCACCATCACCACCACCACCACCACCATCACCACCACCACCACCATCACCACCACCATCACCACCACCATCACCACCATCACCACCACCACCACCATCACCACCACCATCACTATCACCACCACCACCACCATCACCACCACCACCATCACCACCATCACCACCATCACCACCACCACCACCGCGTTGCCTCCATGTGCCCCTCGCAGGCAGCACTGGCCGGCTGATCAAGACTCTCTGTGTCGCGAGCTTCCTCTTCCTCTGCAGCCACTTCTGCTACCAGCTCACCCTGGTGGTGTTGCTGAGGAGGGATTCAGCCACCACCACCACCGCCAACACCACCAGCAACACCACCAACACCACCACCACCACCAACATCACCACCGCCGGCACCAGCGGCGATGGCTTCAACTGTAAGTCGCAAAGCAGATCAACACGCCAGGCGATTCCGTCAAATCGTCGTCGTGAGCGCCGCTCCACCGCCACCCTCCGCTGTCGTTGATGGAGGGCGACTGCCTCCAACTGGCCAGCAGCAACAGCAGCAGCAGAGTCAATCACGAGCCTCATCCTCATCCGTAGAGTTCGCGCACGCACGCACGCACACACAAAGATCCACCCTGCTGCATCCCGGCAATCCCTGAAACCGCATTGGGGCTCCGCAAAGCCTCTCCTCGGCGTGCCTGGCGAGGCGGTGTTCAATAATCCTTGCCAGGACCTTCCCCGGCCTCACACTGAGGAGCGAGATGCCCCTGTAGTTGTTACAGTCCGTGCGGTCCCCCTTCTTAAAGAGGGGGGGGGGGACCCCACCAGGGCATCCTTCCAATCCTGCGGAACCCGTCCAGTGGTCCAGACATTGTGATGCTGTCATAGAGGACGGTCTGTTCATAGATGCCACCCTCCCTTCAGCATTTCGCTTGGGAGATCGTCTCTGCCAGCCACTCACAGGCGGGTGACTACTTCTAGTCAATATTTGAGGCACGGCAGCCCTAGCAGGTCGCCCTCAGCTTGCCCCGTGAAGGTTGGACGGGCTGAGGGAATTCTCCTTCCCTACAATACCTCACAAACAACGCTCTGCAAAACCTGCAGACCTCTTCCTGGGGGTTGGAGATCGAATGATGGATCTCTCCCTGAATGATGGTTGATAGGTGTGGCCCTTAATGATGGTGATAGGTGTGGCCCTTAATGATGGTTGATAGGTGTGGCCCTTAATGATGGTGATAGGTGTGGCCCTTAATGATGGTTGATAGGTGTGGCCCTTAATGATGGTGATAGGTGTGGCCCTTAATGATGGTTGATAGGTGTGGCCCTTAATGATGGTGATAGTTGTGGCCATTAATGATGGTGATAGGTGTAGCCCTTAATGATGGTGATAGGTGTGGTACTGCAGGTTACTCCCTTAATGATGGTGATAGTTGTGGTACTGCAGGTTACTCCCTTAATGATGGTGATAGGTGTGGCCCTTAATGATGGTGATAGGTGTGGCCCTTAATGATGGTGATAGGTGTGGCCCTTAATGATGGTGATAGGTGTGGTACTGCAGGTTACTCCCTTAATGATGGTGATAGTTGTGGTACTGCAGGTTACTCCCTTAATGATGGTGATAGTTGCGGCCCTTAATGATGGTGATAGGTGTGGCCCTTAATGATGGTGATAGTTGTGGCACTGCAGGTTACTTCCTTAATGATGGTGATAGGTGTGGCCCTTAATGATGGTGATAGGTGTTGCACTGAAGGTTACTCCCTTAATGATGGTGATAGTTGTGGCACTGCAGGTTACACCCTTAATGATGGTGATAGTTGTGGTACTGCAGGTTACTCCCTTAATGATGGTGATAGGTGTGGCCCTTAATGATGGTGATAGGTGTGGTACTGCAGGTTACTCCCTTAATGATGGTGATAGGTGTGACCCTTAATGATGGTGATAGGTGTGGCCCTTGATGATGGTGATAGTTGTGGCACCACAGGTTACACCCTTAATGATGGTGATAGTTGTGGTACTGAAGGTTACTCCCTTAATGATGGTGATAGGTGTGGCCCTTAATGATGGTGATAGCTGTGGCACTGCAGGTTACTCCCTTAATGATGGTGATAGATGTGGCACCACAGGCTACTCCCTTAATGATGGTGATAGGTGTGACCCTTAATGATGGTGATAGTTGTGGCACCACAGGTTACGCCCTTAATGATGGTGATAGTTGTGGTACTGCAGGTTACTCCCTTAATGATGGTGATAGTTGTGGCACCACAGGTTACGCCCTTAATGATGTTGATAGTTGTGGCACTGCAGGTTACGCCCTTAATGATGGTGATAGCTGTGGCACTGCAGGTTACTCCCTTAATGATGGTGATAGCTGTGGCACTGCAGGTTACTCCCTTAATGATGGTGATAGTTGTGGCACTGCAGGTTACTCTTTAATGATGGTGATAGCTGTGGCAATGCAGGTTACTCCCTTAATGATGGTGATAGTTGAGGCACTGCAGGTTACTCCCTGAATGATGGTGATAGTTGAGGCGCCTCAAGTAACTTTTTGGACGGAATTAAATCGTGATTTGTAATTTCGGGCTACCGGGGCCAACTCCACCTACTCAGCAACGCGCGACCACCACCCATCCCTTGATGCGCCTCACGGCTCTCCGAATCGCCGAGCGAAGGCTGCGGTAGGCCTCCTCATTCTCCGATATTGGATGTCGCAGACGATGGGAGTGGGCC